GTGGCCCAGAGCCAGAGGAGCGGGCGGAGGGGGACTGGTGCCACCCGTGGCTCAGGACCTCGGGGGGCTCGCCTGCAGCTGCGCTTTGTCAGGCCCCGGGAGGGGGTGGGGTGGGGTGGGAGCGCGGGGCCCCGAGCACTTTTGGGCGTGATGCTGCCGCCGCGGCGCTTCTCGCCCTCTCTTGTGCTGAGCAGCCCCCGCCCGCGTGGGTCCGGGGGAGGTGCAGCTTGCCGGCAGCGCTAATGCAACCGCCCAGGAACGCTTCATTTGCATGGCACATGCATTATTAATCTATTTAAATACCGCCGCCCCCTCCCTCTTTGCACAGCGGGAAGGCACCGGCGAGCAGAGACCGCGGTGGGGGAGGAGAGGGAGGGGCGAGCCCCGAATCCAACAGATTGCCCCCACCCAGGGCAGCAGCCCCACAAGCATGCAGACCTGGGCACTAGCTGCCCAGCAGCTAGGGCATCCTAGCAAGGGCCCTGTCTGTGGCTCTCACCCCACTCTGATGAGTGGGTGGGTGAGAAGCATCCAGGCGCTGCAGTCATGGACTCTACTTGTTGGTGGCTAGGCAGAGCAGGGCTGGTGCTGGGTGGGTTATTCAAAATCCAGTTTATGTCATGCGGCCTGGATACAGGTTGGGATTCATACAAGAAGGCTGTTAATTTCACGTGGCTAAACTGATCAAATGAGGGTAGAAATGAGAGGGGCAAAAGGTGACTTAAATTTCTCTCTCCCGCTTGGCGTTTGTCCCATTAATGGATGCAGCCCTGAGCGTGCTGTCGGAGAGCTTAGAGGCCATGACAAAGCCAATTCAAGCGGGCAAGATCTTAGCAGACTCATCAAAACTAATTTGGGCTTTGAAGATCTTAATGGCCATAACAAATTGTCTGTGGCGGCATGGAGGCTGGTTTAGATCCTCGAAAGCTCCAGTAGATCCTAGTGGCTGGGTCGGAGCCAGTTTAGCTCAGGAGAGCACATTGCACCATCCTCTGACAAAAGACATACCACAGCAGTGCTTCGCTTTAGCAAGAACCTGACCCATTGTAGACCAAATGGAGGTGTGGGGTCTGGATGGCACAGCAATTGCATATGAGAAGGTGTTGGTGCCATTTGCTCCAGGAGCAATCCCTGTTGCATTCAGCGTGGATGGGTTTGTTTCCTTTTTCAAACGAACAGAAGTGCTGGCGAGGATGTCTTCAGTGCTGGCAGAAGACCAGGCAGTGTTTTATCCTGGACTACATATCCTTCAGTTTCTGCAGCTAGGGTAAAATCTCCTAGGCTGGCTCCAGCCAGAGTCACCACTGTTTTTAAAATTCCCTGGTCCTGGTTTTCTTGGGTTTGGCCTGCATTTTGATAGGCAATCCGGGAATCTCAGTGTCATGTGAGGCTTTGTGACTAAGTGACATATCCTCAAAAGGTGATGGTGTTGAGTCAGGCCATAAAATTGAGTCAAGTGCTAGCATAGCACCATATTTTATATTGAGGTGTCTAGGAGCAAATATTTTGGGCAGTATATTTCTAGAAAGCAGGTGTTTATTTAATCAATGCCTTGTGTTGGACTGAAAGGCAAGTGTACAAAGGTGTGGGACCATGTTGAAGGTCAGTGACTCTCCTTTCTTCAGGGGATTAATGCAGTATCTGCTGACAAAAAAGAGCCAGGTGTGCTACTTTAGCATTGGTGACATCACAGGAATGACATCAGTGGTAGGCTAGCCAATTGGGAACTTCAGGTTAAGAATGCTCTTGTGGTTATGGCATTGCACTAGCCTTCAAAAGTCCTGGGCTTAATTCTTACCTATACCATATACGCCTTGGGTGATGTTAGGCATGTCACTAACAGTGGAACCTGTGACTTAAGAACATCTCAGGAACAGAGGTTATTTGTAACACTAGATTGTTCATAACTCAGATCAAAAAGTTACGGTTGTTTTTTCAAAATGTTACATATGAATAGTGATCTAATACAGATTTGAAATTTTACTGTGCAGAAGAAAAATGCCGCTTTTAACCATCTTAATTTAAAGAAAATAAGCACAGAAACAGTTTCCTTACCTTGTCAAATCTTTTTTTAAACCTTTCCCTTTATTTTTTTCAGTAGTTTATGTTTAACACACTATAATTAAACCTCTTTAGTCCAGAATTCTCTGGCCCAGAAACATCCGTCGTCCAGAATGATTTTAGTTAGCTGGATGTCCACTTTTCATGGGTGTGGCCAAGTTTCCTGCAGCCCCATAAAATTTGCTTACAGCCAGCAGTCCTGGCGCTCAGGGTTTTGTGCTGTTATTTAGCTCTAATTTACCACTAAATATCCTCTAACAGTCCAATGAGCAGTGGAAGTGTTGGTAATGCTGCTAGACAATACTGACCTCCCGTGGTCTGGAAAATTCGTTTGGAATTGGTCAGGTCTCGAGGGTGCTGGACTAGAGAGGTTCAACCTGTATTGTACTGCATTTGCATTTGTTTTTGCCTCTGCTGCTTGAATGCATATTTCCAGTTCCAAATGAGGAGTGTTGTGTGTGACTGGCTGGTCAGTTCATAACTCCGGTGTTTCTAACTCTGAGGTTCTTCTGAAGTTTATATGTGCTCTGGCTCCTTGTTTATAAGATGGGGATTAGCATACTTACCTACCTCATGAGTCATGGGGGTTTAAGAGATGTGCACAAACTACAGTGAGGAGAAGAACTATTCAAATATACAGTAGATGGAATCCATAAAATAATTTCCTAATATTTAGGAAGTTGATTTTATGTTCTCTACACATACCGATCAATAGGAGATCCAAAAGACAATGAGATATTTGACTGGCTGATGTATGGAGGAGGGATAGCTACTCTGGGTGCCTTGGGCCCAAGGTATTTTTTTGGAGTGGGGGGAAATTGATCAACCATCAGGCTGAGGTTAATGACCTTAGGGTTTACATTGGAGTCATCAGTACTCACACAGGGTATGTCTACACTACCCCGCTAGTTCGAACTAGCGGGGTAATGTAGGCATACTGCACTTGCAAATGAAGCCCGGGATTTGAATTTCCCGGGCTTCATTTGCATAAGCGGGGAGCCTTTGGAGTGGGGGGAAATTGATCAACCATCAGGCTGAGGTTAATGACCTTAGGGTTTACATTGGAGTCATCAGTACTCACACAGGGTATGTCTACACTACCCCGCTAGTTCGAACTAGCGGGGTAATGTAGGCATACTGCACTTGCAAATGAAGCCCGGGATTTGAATTTCCCGGGCTTCATTTGCATAAGCGGGGAGCCCCGGGATTTGAATTTCTGAGAGAAAGGGGGGGAGCCGCCATTTTTAAATCCCCGCTGCTTCGAACCCCATGCAGCGCGGCTACACAGGGCTTGAACTAGGTAGTTCGGACTAGGCTTCCTATTCCGAACTACCTAGTTCGAGCCCCGTGTAGCCGCGCTGCACGGGGTTTGAACCAGCGGGGTTTTAAAAATGGCGGCTCCCTGCTTATGCAAATGAAGCCTGGGAAATTCAAATCCCGGGCTTCATTTGCAAGTGCGGTATGCCTACATTACCCTCCTAGTTCGAACTAGGAGGGTAGTGTAGACATACCCCAAGATAATTAATACTCAAGAGGTGGTCAGGGGTTAGGAAGGTATTGTTGCTAAATAGCACTGTAAATATGGCAATGAACATGGTATGAAAACCTAGATCTATCTATTTATCCATACCTTGCATAAACCAATATGTTGGTAAATTGAGTCCAAATACCCCTCTCTCCCAGGCGCTAGCTAATGATGGGGATGCATCTCCCGTATTGGGCTTTGCCTCAGGTGAGTCTTCTCCCACCATGCTGAAATCTGAGGAATCTCAGGCTTTCTAAGAACTGAAGTCAAGAAGCAGCTTTATTGAACCTATAGAGAAAGCACAAGCCCCCCAGGGCTAGGAAGAGCAATTTTGAGGTCAAGGGGAGTGCATGGTTCATGTTTGTAGTAGAGCACTTGCAAGTTGCTGATATGTGATGTCTGAATTAGTGGGTATCAACGTGAGGAGGAGCAGTAACCACTGCATATACTTCTGTTGGCTCGTTCTAGGGCATGTGTGTGGGCATGTGCTTTTGGTGGATGTCTTGTCTTGTGGATGAAGTGTAGGGGCTGGGAGTAAGAATACCTGGTTCTTGGTTTTTCCCTCAGCTGACCTTTGTGAGCCTTGGCAAGTCACATCATAGCTTTGTGCCTCAGTTTCCTGTAATATAGGTCTAGCCCTCACCTACTGTACTTCATACTATTGGCATAAGTTAATGCCTGTGACGTGCATTGAGATAATTGGATGGAAGGTGCTCTAGACATACAAACTGTGACCCTGATTGTGTACACTAGGCTACTTGGGGGTATATCAGGGCTCACTTGTGCATATGAGTCCTTTTTATGGCTTGCACAGTGAGACTGTGTTAGAGTTGTTGGGGGTAGCTTAGATCCTTTCTGTTGGATGTCCTAAGGGAGTCAAATGTGAACCACTGTCCCCTACTGGACTAGGTCAGCCACGTCCGTGGGTATTTCCACTCCCTTTGCTGTTGGAGCTCCTGTTCTGCTACTTTAACTCCCTGGGTAGAGGGTTTGTGCTTCAAGAGATAAAGCTCTTGAATTCTATTCCCTGGTGCCAGCTGTATGTAATGAGGTAGCTCTCGTGTCTGTATATGACAACATCCAGAGACGACATGCCCCGGAGCGTACAGCTAATAGTTCCTCTCCGCGCTGCTGTAGTGAGACCCGCCTAGAAAACAGCGCTCAGTCCTGGGTGCCTCTCTGGCAGAAGGATGTTGATAAATTGGAGGGAATTCAGAGAAGAGCTACAAAAATGATGAAGGGACTGGAGGGAGAGATTTATGAGTAAAGATTAAAAGGGCTAAATATATAGAGCTTGGCTAAACAATGGCACAATAACAGTTTGCACACAGTGGAGAGATGGGAACACCAAGGAGGGAGCGGAATTATTGAAGGTGGGGCAGGATGGAGTAAATGGGAGGAAACATTTTAGCTGGATGTCAGGAAACGCTTCCTGTCGTTTTCTCTCGATTAGCCAAGGAAGGGAAGGGTCTTCCAAGGGGAGCTTTGGAGACCTGATTGCTTGGGGGCAGTTCGAGACAGATAGGTGAAAAATACAGTGGGGAACAATCCTTTCTTGGCCTAGAGTCAGGAGGATGTGTCTTAAGAGGCCTTTTCTGTCTCTAATTTCTGCATAATATTGTGCTTCAGCTGACTGCGTTTTGCATTTTATTGCTTTGTGTTTCACTGCTGAGGAAAGCTGCAGACATGGTTGAAAAATCAAAGGGAGCCCAGAGGAGAGGGGACCCTTCCCCATTGTAGACCCAGCCTGCAAGGGGGGTAAGATCCCCAATCCATGTTTTCTAGAAAAGTGGCATAGGAAGTGGGCTCAGAGGGAGGGGAGGGATGGGCTGAGGTCAGGTGGGAACTCTGTCAAAAAACAACCTTGATAGAATAATTTAGGTTTGAAGGATAATTTCAGGGGGATCAGCCCCTCTCCCTGACACAGTCCAACACCAAGACAGCAGGGTCAAGGGGATCAGCCCCCCAGTCATAGAGTCACTGGGGGGGTCACGTAACAAAAGGATTAACTGTGAGATTCTAATAGTGTAGCAATGGGATAGAAGTCCAGAGAGGTTGAAGGGACTTCAGAGGGATTAGCTCTGTTACAGACAATCTAGCAAGGGGACAACATGTTCAATGAGTGGGAATGGGGATTTGAGGGTGATTAGTTCTTAGTCACAGAGGGTACGTCTAGACAGAGGCACTATTTCGGGATATTCCCAGTATCCTGAAATAGTATTTTCTGCGTCTTGACAGCGTGCCCGTTATTTAAAAATAGCTTTCGAAATAATGGGTGCGCTACTCCAACATCCTTGTAAATCTCGTTCCGTGAGGATTAAGGGATACTTCAGGATAGGGCTCTATTTTGAAATTTGAAATTTCAAAATAAACTATTTCGAAATTTGAAATTTCAAAAAAAGCTATTTCAAAATTAACTTGAAATAAGCTACACAATTTGCATAACTCAAATTGCATAGCTTATTTCGAGCTCAGGGTGCAGTGTAGACGCACTTAGACAGACAGGGACCAGACCTACACTCTTGATAAGGAGTGGAGGGAATTAACTTCATCCACAGACCCTCTCCCTCAGAAGGTTTCGGGCCAGGGAAGATGTGACACAGATGCCCATTTGTAATTCAGTACTATGAGTCAGCAATTCATGTCAGGCCTGACATATTCATTACACCTCACACACTGGA